CAAAAACTCCACTCCTGAAGTGATCTCCTTAAGTAAGGGTTTCCAATCCAATTTTACACAAGGAGAGTGCTTAAGATTAGAGATAGTGTTTTTTATTGTGCTCTTCAGTAATAGGAGTAGAAGGGGTGAAAGGAGAGATGGAAGGAAAGAGGGAGAGAGGAATGGAAAGGAAAAGAGATCGATAAAGGCTGCTCTCTCCGGTTGCCTTTATTCTTCGTCGCCGTGCCTGTGGAGATGAGGTTTAGGCGGCTCGTGGCTGCAGGCCATGCGAGGGGGGCATTAAAGTGTCGCAAAGGGACCTGCTTTTTTCTCATAAACAGGCCTGCAGGTAGAGAAACACTCACCAGGATCCCAATATAACAACAACTCGTAGCGCTCGTTCGCAGCCATAATGAACAGCAATCTCTTTTCAGCGGAATGAGATGTACTGTGTACCTGACTGGTTTGTCATGGAGGGCTTTTCATTACAGCGCCGTGGATGTTTGCCGGAGCTGACTCGCCTCAGCGGAAAGGGCGCGCGGTTGCACTGGGACGAGCACAACTCCCCTGATTTGCATGGGCCTTTTTTCTTCTCCCAGTTCATTTCCAGTTGAATAACTCGTTTGTCACATACATCAGAGGAAGGCGAAGATCATACGAAAGCCAGTGTTACTTTGTGTTTCACTAATGAGGCCTGTACTCTCCGCCTCCTTGCTTTTGCCTTGCTGCCCTTTGAAACAGCAGCGACATGGTGCTACAACACTTTAGTAGTTTTCTTTCTCTGATACCAAGCTCCAGGCTGTTATCCTGTTTGTGTGTCACTTGGCTCCGTCTCAGTCCTTTGCACTTGTTTAAGGCTCAAATAGCAGCAGACCTGACACAGATACACTGGCCTGCGTGCCCTGTGATTGTAGCGATTGAGATTTTGACCCGAGCACAGAGGGACACTCGAAGGCAGATGACGGTTTAACAAGTTTAGTGGAACATGTCATGACTAATGCAGAAGCGAGGCACGGGGGGGAAGAAACAGAACAGTAAACTACACCATAGATTTCCCTAAAAACTTAGGAACTGTCAAATAAAACGCAGAGGATGTAGCAAACAAGAAACTAAAACCAGAAGCTCCTCTGCAATGTGCTCAGCAGAAACAGTAGACAGAATAAAGCGCTCAAATAAAAATGTCATGTTTTTTAGGGAGTTTTATTCCAGGACCAGAAGGATCCACAGAAAATAAGCCGAGAATACAGTCAACACCACCTGCTGATTAATGCCACAGTCCAGCTACACAGCATGTTTGTTTACATGCATTTTATCATGTTGCGAGCATATTTGAAGCATGACATTTATAACACAAAGAAACCATTTTATCCAGCTCTGTGCAGACATGATTCTTGCATTTTACAGTTTTCTGGCTGTTTGCGTCGCTCCCTTCAAATTTTAGGCACTCTGTCATTTTCGTTCCAACTTAGTTACCTAAACAGTTTAAGCCAAACGTAATTTGGTTTCTGGCTGGCAGGACACTGCTTCATGCACCACTCTGCTGGATTGGCATTTAATTGTTATTAATGGAAGACAAGAACAACAATATTTTTATCTTTAATTTTCTTTTCAGCATGTACATCATTTTTCTTGCTTTATCGATCAGCTAATAGTAGATTAAGAGAGAACATCTGTTCACATGGCAGACCAAAACTAACGTCATGTCAGTGGAGGCAGCAGTGAGAAGATGGATATGATCGAGGAAGTTTAGTTTAACCCTCTGAGACCCAAGCAGTTTCTGGATGTTTCCTGCTCTTGTCACATTTTTAGTCGCTGTGGACTAATTTGTCACTGTACTATAAAGTCCTGCACCTCTATGGAAGCAGCACAACCATGGCTAGAAGTAGAGAACTTAAAATTGTATTTTGTGCAGTATGACATAGTTATAACGCCACAAATCATAAAAAAAGAGAATATTTATTTGACAAAAATAGAAAAAAAAAACAGGAAACGACATGGACAACATTTTTCCAAGTGCCCACAGATGTCATTAACGCTGGACAGATTTTTACAGAATGTTGTTAAGTCAAGCAGTTTATTTTTTGGTTTAAAATAAAAAAAATTAGACATGTAGACTGAAGTGACTTTGATAAAATAAGATTTTTAGCTTGCATTTGGTTAAGTTTTGTGATTGAGCAGCATGTCACCCATGAGTAGTTTAAGGACCGTTGGAAAGCAAAAAACCCAACAAATTTTCAGATGTGGTTGTTTTTTAAAGACAACATGTCTTTCAAACCTACCGACATGTTTTGGGGGCTCAGAGGAAGTAATACATCCACAACTGCTGTTTGTAATACTGTAAGAGAGAACGTTACAACTCTGAAAATCAATGCAACAATCATTTTATCAGTCTGAACATTCACAACGTATTCATTACATACAGTTCGTACCACAAAGTCGTATACGTTTGCATGCGTTATATTGACCAGGGCAGTTCATTGCAGTATGACATTGCATTTTATTGTGGTAATACCTTTTTTGCTGCATGACCCTGCATATTGCTGCAGCCTCCCGCATCAAGACGCCTCCTGTGCCAATGCGGATCTCACTGAGAAACTAATGAGGGGTCTGTGTTTTTTGACAGCCTAAGGTGCCACCATATCCTGGATTAAATCAAAGTAGCATAATGAGGTTTCCCCCAAAAAACAAGGATAAGGGTTTGTCCTGAAGTCTGAAACCTGGATGTGTGATGATGATGATCAGAAGAGCGGTAAACACGCTCCTTCTGTAAATTCTTAAAAAACACAGATCAGGACCATGGGCAGCGGTCCTGACAGTGACTAAATAAAAGACATAACTGAAGCTTTGATCTCTTTAATGACATGAGCAGTGTTTGATGTACAAACACAGCACCTTCTTGTTTCCGGGCTGCTGAGCTTTCTCTCTCTCCGCCGGACTGTCGAGCGCTGACGTGTTGACGGCTCGCGCAGGCCGGTTAAAAGGAGGACACGGGATCTGGTAGTACTTTCAGCTGTCATACCAGGAGGTGCATCTTTTTTTAGGTAACCAACCCCATTCTCCTTTAAAATGGGCGCTTAGAAGTTGAAAATTGCCAACATCAAGAGCTTCCTTGAATTAGGATGCCCCGCAATGCAAGTGTGTTATATAATGCCATGACTGGAGGGAGAGGAAAAGTAGAGCACAGGGGTAGAGATTAAAAAACTTTCTGCATAAAAAGAGAGGAGGGAGGAAGAGATGAGCATAAAAGGGAAAGGGGGGAGCGGGGGGGGGCATTGAGGGAGAGACAGAGGAGATAGAAATATCGTATAATGAAAAGGAGAAGAGGGGGATTAGGTCAGGCAGGCGTGAGGGTCCGGTCCTCCAGCAGGAGCAGCCTTGAGGCCTGGCAGGCTGCAGGAGGCTGGTCAATCCCTCTCCTCTCTCAAGGCTTCTCTCTTTTTTCATTTAGATAATGGAGCATTTCCTTAATTGGCAGAGCACAGTTTAGGCCGAGGTTTGTTTGCCAACACGTCAGAGTAGAATTATTTCCACTACATTTACAGCATGGTGTTGCTCAGCTCTCTCATTAAAACCACAGCCTCCTCCTTGCCCAGATAGCGCTTTCTTTGGAAATCCGCAGAAGAAGGCCAAACACCACAGCAGCAAAAAGGAAGAAAAAAAAAAACCCAGAAAAGCAAGCAGAATAAAACACATTTATCTACTATCTCACCATCCCCAGCCGGCTTGTAAAGGAAGAGACAGAAACTTCTCTGTTTACTGTTATTGTTTTTCTCCAATCATGAACCCTTACTTCTGGCTGCTATTGTGTGCCTTTCCCTCCTCCTCGCTTATCGAAAGAGTTATGCTTTGAGCTCGCATGATCTGTATCTTTAAATTTGATTGAGGGTATTTGCAGGGGGTGTTATTGGATTTCAGTGTTATTGTCTCACCTTTCCCTCTGTGTTTTTAATGTTGGGATGGATATTCGCTCCAGCAGCACTGATCTCACTGTTCTGCTCATTAGTCTGAATTCACAGAGCCTAGTGCTTTGCAACAATAAGGCATGCACTTCTGTAGTCCAGCCATTACTGAGTTTAACAATGTGCACCAGCCAGAAAAGTCCATTATTTCTGCAGCTCATCATCTCAAGCATCCACACGAGACAAAGGGTCTGTGAAACTGCTTCATTGCAAAGGGCCATCTATCACTTAAGTCAGTAGCAGAGACTAAAAAACATATGTGGTGCAGATACCACATACTGAGTGTTCTGGCGGCATATGGACAAATCAGAGTTGTACGAGTGGGGCTGGGGTTTATCGTCAAACTTTTTTATTTTTTTTTTGAGTAGTGTGGAAAGGCGCCTCCATTGAGTACAAAGAGGTGGCTTCATTCACTTACTCTCTGATGAGATTTTTGCTGATTTAAACCAGAGTTTTGCTCGTTTTATTTTGCCAAGGTCCATGTACCGCTGAAAATTAAAACTGAGTGGATTTTAGATTTCAAAGAGGTATCAAAAAACGTGACAGAAAACCCGAGTATCGTTTTGCCGCTTTACTTGATAGAAACAAAGGCAGGCAGCGTGAATGGAAGTAAAGTTTTTGAAAAGCGAAACGCAGGTTGCTGCGAAAGTGTGAAAGTGGAGCTCGGAGACGGAGCAGCTGCTGGTTTAACAGACCTGTCATTGGAATCAAAGGCTCTAATCAAAATTTTATCAATTAATTGATCTTTCCTCTTGTGCTTTGCCACAAGTGCAATTGAGATTCCCCCTGACTCTTGCCCCTCCAACAGCAAGCCATGCTCTACACCATAAACTGTGTTCATTAGCGAAGATCAAGGATTCCTCTAATCTGAGCTGAGATGTGATATGATGGCTGTTTCCTCCTGACTTAGTTGGTTTGCAGGACAACTCTCCCCGGTTGCTTCCACATCGCACCAGGGAACTTGCATATCTTTCATGCTGTTTGTACAAGTCAAACAATGTACTTTCGCTGGAATTTCGAGCACAGTTCTAACGTTGGCCTCCCGCTGTGTGTTTCTCGCAGGGTAACCAAGAGGCCACCAACCCCCCAGAAGCGATGGCCCAGCCGTACACCCCAGCCCAGTACCCACCTCCCCCACAGAATGGCATCCCCGCAGAGTTTGCGGCACCACACCCGCTCCCGACACAGGACTACACCGGGCAGAGCCGGGTTCCTGAGCACGCCATGACCCTCTACACGCCCACACAGACGCACAGCGAGCCGGCCGGCACTGACAACAGCACGCCCACCATCACCGCCACCACGACCGCACCGGTCAGTGTCCTTCATCACCTGCAAACACTGTTCTCAACACGCTGTCAGCAAGTAAAATATATTCATATTACCATTTTTTTCGAATATTATTTATAAATGTATCACTGTGCTTATCAATATGTAATTGTCAAATTGTGCTTCTTTGCTTTTGTAGCAGTAACAAAATGTCATGTGACTTACAGTGAAACTAAATGTTGTCATGTTTTGCTACTTGTTTCCCCTGATTCCCTGATTTTTATTTCACCAAGTAGTTAGCAGAGTTTAGCCACTCTTAGAGTCTGAACGTTCTGTCCTCTTCATGTGTCAAACATTGTCTCTCTGTGCAGTGAAGGAAAAGATAGATTTACAAATTTGCCCCAAATCCAGCTCTCTTGCATACAGCATTAAATGTATTTTAGAGGGTAAAAATCAGATTTATTTCTTGCGTTTGGCCTTTAATTACACATCACATAAAGAGTAAATTTTATAATTATACATGCTCTTAAACAAGGTATGTAAACAGATTATTTATTAAGAGACTTCAGAAAAATGATCTTATGCACAATTTAACATGTAAATATGGCCCATCTGCATTAATGTAACATATTTACATTTTTAATTGTCTTTGTTAACATTTTGTAGCTCTATTACGTTTACATAAAATGCATTTGGTAATTTTGCAGTTACATAAGTGGCGTTGTGATGGAGATAGAAGTCGTATTTCAGCTCAGTTTTTCTTCCTCTCGTCTTTTTCACTCGGTAATTTGGATGTTTTCTGCATAACAAACACAAAAAAATCCCGACCTTTATTAATACCAGGTGAGGGTTAAGAGTGCGACTCAGTCAAAAGCGAGAGTTACAGCTCTGCACATTCATGAGCAGCAGCAGACTTTGATGTCCAGGCCAAGTTCAGCGCTTGATGATGGAGGTGAATCTGACTGAAAATGTGCTCTTAAAAAATGAAAGTGCATATCTGAAGAACCGTTTGGGGCTCCCTCAGAAAACACGTCAACCTGAGCTGTTTTATTTATTTGCGTGAAGGAGATTTGACATGCTGTAGACATGAATGATTCAGGCTTTCTGAAAGGCGGACACGCCCTTCCCTCCTCCCTCATCGTGTTGGTCTCAGTTCAAGGAGCAAAAAAGAGAGATGCACTTCTCTCCAGCAGCCAAACCCAGCTGCTGCTCAGTCAAATCATCTAATTATCTGTAACTACACTCAAAGATTTTCCTTTAAACATAAGACATCATCATCGTCTGTGCCGGGACATGATCGTACTCCTGTTTTCATTCCTTTTCACCTCACCATTAGAGTGCATGTGTTTGAAGTGTTGGCACTCCACGTAGAAAACAAACCTCTGGCAAAGGCTTGTAAGTGAGTGAAATTCTAAATTATATATTATACATTTCATTCTTGTGTACTGATTCGCTTACATAAAATTCCTTGACCTGGGATTTACCTTCACAAGAAGGCAGATGTAGATAAAAGGGAGAATGACTTAGCTTCAAACTTTCGAGTCTTCTCTGAAAAGGTGGATAATACTCCCGGAGATGGGGGGGGGAAAAAAAAAGACCTTTAGCATGAAAACACCTGCTGCGAGAGGTCACGGCGAGGCCACGGCCCTCCCGAGAGGGATCCGGGTCACTCATAAAGAACACTGTTAATAACTCCATTTTCCTAGCCTCACAATTACCGGACAGCCATGAATATTTGGCGGCAGAAAAAAGTGCTTATACGGCACAAGCAGAGCAATAGCAGTGGATGGTGTATTATCATCGGCCTGTAATGTAGCAATGTTTGATTTGAAGATTTGTGTGACGCTCTCCAACCGCTCCACGGTTATGTGCTGCACTTACAGTAATGGCTGACACAAGAGAGTTTAAAGTGAGGAGAGACTTGGCAGGAGGTTCGGTCTCCTCCTCCTCCTCCTTCCTCCCCCTCCGACACTGTACACCACTCCTCCGCTATCCTATCTCTCCCTGTCTCCCCCCCCCTCTCTCTCTCTCACTCTCTCTCTCTCTCTCCATTTCGCATTTGATTTCATTTCATCTGCTCACCCGCTGTGAAGAAAGCCCAGAGATGGTGGCCATGGAGAGATGAGAGCTCGCCTTGCTTTTCCTTCATGCTCTTCCCCCCCCCTCTCACTGCCGTCCCCGCTTTTCCTCCATCTTCATTCCCTGCATCCCCCTCGCTCTCCCCCACTTCCACCCATCTTTTTCTCAGGGAGGACAGAGGGATGAGATTAGTGGGGTGTAAACAGAGAGTCTAATCCTCGGGGGCCGCTGGTGTAGTGTCGCCCACCGCTGTGTTCCCCAGCTTTAATGACAGACCCAGCCTGTTTGCTCTGGGTGCCACAGACGGGCCCGGGTGCCTTTGATTAGGGCACCCTGCAGAAACACAGATTGAGGGAGCAGATCAGCTACTCACTGCGACTCTCCCCCTCCTCGCCCTCCTTCCCTCGGCTCGACTCTGCTGCGCTCAGCTCCTCTACCCCACGACGACGCTTTACTCTGCACATCTTCTCGACTTAAAGACTTAAAAAGAGTCAAGAGAGTGAAAATTCAGTGAAACGTATGGATTCTGAGTGAATTCCCTGCTGAGAACGGAGAGAGAGTGTGTGTTTTAATAAGGCTCGGGGACTCTCTCCGCTCCTCGTCTTTGTTTCCGTCTGTGTCTACCAGTCCCTTCTCTATACTGGGAAGGTGGCGTTGTCCAGAGACAGACCTCTGGGACCTCACTCTGTGCCATGTTCAAACAAGCTGACTTGAAAGCAGGCGACTTGAGGAAGAGAGGCAGCCCCCAACTTTTCTCCAAATCCTTAGAGATGAGGGTAGCAGAGGGCTGCCAGGGAGCTCGGCTAGAGAAAAAAAAAAAAAAACTGAGCTCGTTATCTGGCTCAGTTCAAATAGTCTGAGGTTTGGTTGAATTTCATGAGTAATCATTCTCTTTTCAGATAACAAATTAAGGCAGTGGCGTTAGGGCAGCACTCAATTCCAGATTTTTCACAGCCCGTGTCAGCGGCATGAAGACTTTCCAAAGGGTATTCTGGGGGACTGTGATAACATAGACACACACACACATATGAACACACAAGGGCATGCAGAAAAACATGGGCGAGCACATGCAAACATTCATGCATACACGTGCACACGCTCTCTCATCTCTCATGAGCTGTGTTTAAGGGATTGAGACACCACCGGGGTGTAGCTTTCAGAGACGGTGCTGATGGCAGCATGTAGGCCACTATTAAAAGGGGATGACTGTGTTATCTGCGAGAGGGAGGAGTCGCCCATTTCCCTCCGCTGTATATTCCCTTTTCAAAGATATCTTTAATATTCCTTTACACAAAACCTCTCCTGGATCATTTAAAGGATAAACTGGGTGTAATTCTCTATTCTCATTACAGTCAACAAATCCCATGAAAACACCAAAACTAAAAATATGATCGCCCGCTTCTCAAAACTTTCTGATTTCCCCACTCTCTATGCTCGTACTCAAGATGTAAATCTAAAAAAAGAAAGAAAGAAACAGCTCACAGATACATATTTAGACTTTTTAAAAAGGCTTGGTAATTTCCTAAAACAGCTGGATGCTGGAGTTTTTAGCAATCAGGAGAAAAACCATGCAATTGTTGGGACTATTTTCAGCTGCACATTAATGCACGTTTGCTGCTCTAGTGAGAATTTTCCAGCAGCAGGAATTTCTAGTTACACTGCATCTGGCCTTGATAGTGAAGAAACATGTCACCCAGTGCAACAGTGTGGTTCTTGGTTTACTTTTAGTAGTTTTCAAACAATATAGTTGTTACTGCACAGGAGAATAAGACATATCAAGTTTAGATACACAACACTTGTTAGAATTCGTTCTTTGTATCTTTGTTTTTTGGGGGGTTTTTTGTGGGTTTTCTGGACAGAAAAGGTTATAGCTTCAGATATAAATCAAACTGTCTTTTAATTGTGCAGGTGAGGCAAGAATCTTGCAGTACAGTTACGTAATTCTTCCAAAAGTGAAACAGAATCTGAACTTCAGGCTCAGCAGAGAGTTGTAGCCGACTCCCCTCCTTTATGTATCCAGACTTGAACCTGTGACTTTTTTATATCAAAGAAGCAGATATTTTCAAATACAGCTTGGATTGGCGACTCGGAAAGAAGAGTTTCATGCCCATTGTGCTTTATTGGTGCTTCAAGTGCCTAACATTGTCTATGCAGAAAATGAATGGGACTTACTGCAGCCTGAACGCTCAAAATAGCTCCTCTACCTTTAGCTACTTTATATGAATCAGGGAGATGAGGAGGGGGCAGACCCTGCACTCCACACTCACTCGCTGCTCTCTCAGGTGATGGAAAGGTTATATTTGCAGCTTCTTTTCGAAAAAGAAAACAAACAGCGGAGGACCGGAAGAAGAAAATAATGAATTAAAGCTCAGGCATTATAATTCTTCTGAGGGAAGACTCCGAACCCCCCCACCCCCCACCCCAACTCCTATTTAATCGGATGTAATCTACCTGCTTGGCAGCATTCCAATCAGATAGTTTCAATTATGCTCTTGTAATGCCACTCTGCGAGGAGGGGGAAAGTGCTGAGCAGAGCACTTTGCAGGCGATTTGCAAATAACAGCAAGGGAGTCTTTTAGAGAAATGACTGAACAGGAAGCCGGAGAGTTGCTGGAGTTGACAGCTCTCTCACTCTTAGGTTTGCTGGCTTTGGCGGCGATGGCGTGTTTTGCATCCCACCTCCTCCTCCCCATGACAGCAGCTGTCGGGACAGTAAAGTGCCACTGAAGGTGGCCTCCTATGGTAATACGGAGGTAATTATTTTCCACTGCTGCAGCACCATCTCACAACCAGGCAGGCAGGTTGGAGCCTCGGGAGCAGTGCGCAGAGGCAGCCGTCCCCGGATCTCGGTGACACTCCAAGTTATTGAGTTAGTAGTATGCAGTCTGCGGTGCTTGGGAGTCAGCAATTCAGTATTTGTGTTCTCCATATGTGTATTTGCCCCCGATGTCAGCGTGCTGCTGGCCTGTCTGAGCGCCGAGTGAAAGTTAATCTGGATGTCTGCAAACACGCGACTGCGCCTGCCGTGATAAAAAGCCAGACAGACAGAGCTGGAGGACAGCGGTGCTCAGTAGTCTGGCAACATACGCTAAAGGTCGATAGTGTCATGTGTGACCGATGAAACAGATTGACCCGCGGGGCTCTGGTACCTTGTCACCCTCCACGGTCCCAGCATCTGTCTGCAATGTGTCACCCCCAGGGCCCAACATGGCTACTCAGGCTATTAACCTCCAGCGCGCGAGGACACAGCAGAGTTAAGACCCCTCCGCCCGTCTCTCTCTGTCACAAATCCACTCCTTACCAGCCGGCCGGCCGCCCAGCTTAGTGCATTTTCCGGCTCCTGTGTCCTTTACCACTTGTTAACCTCTGGTCCGGACACCGTCAAGCCCGGACGGGACTTAGGAAGCTGCCACCAACGTGCCCTACCTGGATGGCTGCAGGGGAGACAAAGTGGGACCTTGAATCAAACAACTGTCACTGTTAACAATGTATGTCACCATCTCGGAATGGGCCATAAAAACCAAATAAATGACGGCCATTACAGTGGAGATTGTGATTATGATAATGAGAATAATAAAGGCGATCATCATTACGATCATGATGATAATGATAATACTGTGATGATGAATTATAATGAATAAATCCCTACCCCATTTCCTAAATGGTGGGAAATGTATCACTAAGAGAGGCCTGCAGCCATGTGACAGCCTCGGAGCAGGGCGAGGGTTATCACCGTGTGAGTGTGTGTCTGTCATTTGAACCGTTTGTACTCCGGCAACAACCTACTCTCTTTTCACGTCTGTATCACTACAAGATTGTGCCTGTGTGTGTGACTTCCCAGCCAGTGTATAGTGTGTTTGCCATGCTCTGAGAGCACTTCCCAGGAGACCTTGCAGTTTACATATCACATTCAAACAGCTTTTGTGCTCAATATCTGCCACTTCCACTCCCTCATTTCTCATCCTCCCCTCCTCTCTCTGTGTTTCTTTATTTAGTCTTTTTCCAGAGTCACCCACACTAAATCAGAGCTCATTTTTGTTCATTTTATTCATTTGCTTGCCTTTGCGAAACGGAGACCATCCCCTATCAGAGAAACCACAGCATTTGTTTTTGTTCAAATGCCCAAAACAAACTTTATCTTTTCCTGATGAGTGACCTCTTGTGGTCATGGGAGTAATTACTGTGTTCTCTCAGAGGCAAATGTGGAAGCTGTGCAGTGCTGTTGTTCAGATTTGGAAAACCTCTTAGGAAATCCGGAGGAAGCTTTGCTGTTCACTTCCTGTCACCCACCATCAGTCAGCGCTGGTCTCTTTAAACCATGATCAGCTCTCTCCATAGCTCAAGTATCTGCCTACCAAGATGTTTAAAACTCACTAATTAACAGAGAGCATCTTGTTTTGTTTTTTTTATCTGTACAGAAGACTACATGTCAAATGCCGATTTGTGGTTTTTGGAGCTGAAACTATTTGGGCAGATCTTGTTTATTGATCTGCACAGTACACGTGAGCTCTAGTCCCAGCTTTACAGTGAGTTGCTAGATATGTATGGTGTGTAATTACAGCTGTTATTATACGTTTCAGCTACAGTGGTGCCACACCTGGCAACCTGCAGAAAGTCTCTGCATCCCACTGCCAACACACAACTCCACTTACTGTATAACTGCAAATTGTTGTTTTTATATGTGTTTGTGCACAGAATAAAAAAAAAACAAGATACAAATTACCAAGCAACAATAGAGGTGTTAGTAGTGTAGCAGAGATTTTTATACTACGCCATTTGCTCAATTATTCTACACACTTGAGAAAAGGAAAATGAGAGATCTTTGGTCTACTTGTAGGTTTTTCGTGCACTTATTCAGAGTACAAACAAACCGAGCTGGTCTCCACAGCAACTGAACGTTGTCACAGAATTCGGGAAACTAAATACAATTCTTTATCATTTCCACTAAGCATCATAGGCCCACCGGTGTCTCAGAGTCACCTATATTCTCCTCTCGTGTTCAGCAGCTGCATGACGTTTTCATCAAAACCTCATACAACCTCTGTTCAGCCTGTCTGGTGTCATGCACAGTGTCTACTGAGCAGGTTAAATGACACACATGGGGCTTGCAAATCTTACCAAAGCTGTCTCGGACAGCTCAGACATGGCCCTTCCTCCCATATCAGCATTTTTACCCTTCTAAATATTTACCATCGTTACATTTTGCTTAAGTTATTTCATATTTGTACATGCAGTTGTAATCACATGGTTTAAAATGGCCTAAAAGGTTAAACACTTGAGTATTTTTTTCTGACAGAAGCCGCTTTTTTTTTTTTTTTTTAACTTTGGAAAGAGCCAGGCTATCTGCTTCGCCCTGCGTTCAGTTTTAATGCTAAGCTAAGCTAATTTCCTCCTGGCTCT